AATTTTTTTTTAAAAATAATTCTTTATTGTTGAAAGTATTACATATGTCCCCTCTTTTCCTCCATTGACCCCCTCGAGCCGGCCCCTGTCCGCCCCTCCTCCTCACCCCTCAGGCCCTCACCGTCCAATTGTCTGTGGCCATGAACCATGCATATATGCATACAAGGTTCTTGGTTGATTACTTCTCCCCTCTCCCCCACCTTCCTTCCAAGATTCTGCACTCTGTTCCATGCTTCCATGTCTCTGGATCCACTCCGTTCTTCAGTTTATTTTATTCATTAGATTCCACAGATGAGAGAGATCATGTGATACTTGTCTTTCTCCGACTTATTTCGCTTAGCATGATACTCTCCAGGTCCCTCCATGCTGTCTCAAAGGGCAAGAGATTCTTCTATTTTATTGCTGCTTAGTATTCTGAAAGGGCGAGGGCTACGCCCTCCATCTTGCCCCGGATCCTCCATTTTTGGGCAGCAGCCATGTGCTCAGCAAGGAGCTTCTTCCCGGAAGCCCAAGCCTCTGCTAGCCACACCTAGGATTTCTTTAAACTAACCAATGATAATCAAGGGAAGTGTGTGCCATAGATACGACCACATCCTGTGTAACAAGACACCGAATTGCACCTGGCCAATCGGCAGGACCCACAGTCCTCTCTCCTCCCCTCACTATAAAACCCCTCTCCCCACAGAGCGGTCTCTCTCTCTCTGTCCCCGCCCCCCCGCCGCCGCTGCGTCAGCGAGTGTGGCGGACGGGGAGCCCGAGCTAGCTCGAATAAAGACTCTAATGCTTTTGCATCGGACTCGCTGGCTCCCTGGTGTGGTTTCTTGGGGATCCTGAAATCTGGGCATAACATATTCTATGGTATAAATGTGCCACAGCTTTTTTATCCACTCATCTCCTGATAGGCACTTGGGCTGTTTCCAGATCTTAGCTATTGTAAATTGTGCTGCTATGAACATAGGTGTGCATACATTCTTTCTGATCGGTGTTTCGGGGTTTTTAGGATATATTTCTAGAAATGAGATCACTGGGTCAAATGGCAGTTCCATATTTAACTTTATAAGGAAACTCCACCATATGTGTGTTTTTAAAATGCCTTAGGATCTTAGAAGAGCCTCCTGTCTTTTTCCTTATTATCATTTTCTTGTACCTTACACTTCAGGTTATAGGAGAATGAAGTAAGATTAGACACATGCAGGACTATTTATTTGATTTCTTTTCAATATTTAAGCAGCTTAGCTAAATGTCTCTAAGTAATTTGGGGGTCTTCTATACCCTATAATGAAAGTAAGATACTTAATATGAAAAAAATGGTCTGCTTATAATTAGTGAACAAGTCATATTTGAAATACAGTTTTTATGAATTCATTCATTTAGCACTATGTATATGAGGGACCAGATAAAGAGAATGAGCAGAATAAATCTTGCCCCTGTGAAGTTCATAATCTAGATTGGGAGCAACACAGAAATAATTTAGGAATATAGTGAGAGGTAGAGCAGTAAAGTGTTTAGTCTCTGGAGTCTGATACTTAGGTTTGAATTCTGACTCTGCTATTTAATAGTTGTATGAAGTTGGGCAAATCACTTAATTTCTCTATCCCTTGGTTTATTTGTCTATAAAATGAGAATATTACCTACTTCATAGGGTTGTTGTGAGGATTTAAAGAGTTAATATTTGTAAGAGTTTATGAGTAACTGGCACACAGTGTTAATTATTAGCTGTTATTATTGTTATTATCACTGTATAGAAGTATGTATGAACATAAAGTGAGGGCAATGGACATAAAATGAGGGCATTATATATATTTCCACAATTATATATTTATATATTTCCACAATTTATTATTGTCCGCTACTCTACCGCATCACTTCACCCATGTCACATAACCTTCTATTTCTGAGTCCTTGCTCATCTTTCCACAGTGATCTCTTTCTTATAAGTGCCTTTTTCCCATACTGCTTGAACCATCACATTGTATGCCTTCTTATTCTCTGAATGTATGTTTGGTACAAGTTAATTCTTTCTTATGTCACACATAATGTGGCCATATATAATACCATGTTCCTATTTAACCCATGTCTTATATGGATTACAGAGTAGTTCCACTGTACTTAACAGCAGAAGATGCTTAATAAATACTGGTTGATTAATTGAAGTTACTCAGTTTCAGAAACAGCTTTTACTGGCATAGATCAGAGGTTGGCAAATTTTTTTTTGTAAAGGGCCAGATACTAAATATTTGTCACTCTGTGGGCCATATGGTCTCTGTAGCAACTGTCACAACTATTCCACTCTGCCACTGTAGTGCCACAGTTGCCACAGACAATATGCAAACAAGTGGGCATGACCACGTTTCAATAAAACTTTCTTTTTTAAATTTGATTTTTTATTTTGAAATACTTATTGATTCACAAGAAGTCGAATATATATAATAGATATAATAAATATAATATAGTAAATATGATATATGATATGATATGATATAATATAATATAATCCTATATAATAAAAGCCTAATATGCAAATCGACTGAATGGTGGAATGACCTGTCGGCGCGGGGCAGGGCTGGTGAGTGTGCAGCGCCAGGCCAGCCAAGGCGGGTGCTAGCAGGCAGAGGGGGGTGGCAACGACAGGCGGTGGCGGAGGGGTGATCAGGGGGGCAGGGCCAGCTGCTCACTGGCCAGCACCATCCCCCAATTGGCCCATGGGTTACCTCCTACAGAGGTAAGTCAGACAGACATCCCCCCCGTCAGTCAGACATCCCCCAAGGGCTCCTGGTCTGCGAGAGGGTGCAGGCTGGGCTGAGGGACCCCTGAGTGCATGAATTTTCATACACGGGGCTTCTAGTTTAATATAATATAATATAGTGAGGTTTTGTGCACCCTTCACCCAGTTCCCCCCAGTGGTAGTACTATAATACGATATTACGACCAGGAAATCGACACTGGTACAGTTTACAATTTATTCAGATTTCACTGGTTTCACATGTATTCATTTGTGTATGTGCATTTGTATAGTACTGTGTAATTTTAAAACCTTCTTTACAGAAATAGGCAGTAAGCTGAATTTGGCCTGAGAACTGTATGCCGTTCACTGACACTTGGAAGAGATCCTCCTGTAGAACTCAAAGTTACAATATTTTGGAATATTGTGTGGAAACCAATACACAAAAGCATTTTTATGGACTACCCAGCTAAAATGAGAACCAACTGTGGTTTAAAAAACAAGCCAAGCCTTTCTCCCTCATGAGACTGTTAGCAGAGAGAAGGCAGAGAAAAATACCCAGAACAGAAAAATGAAGGTTATTTCTATCTTCTCCCACTTTCAACCTCTGACCTCACACCAGTTAGGAAAGGACATGGCCAACCGGAGCCTGCTGAATTGAGCAAAGTTCACTATCAGACTATCACTCTTCGCTTCCGAGGTACCTTAAGCTTTTTACAGCTTGAACTAAGAAGTTGATGACTAGAATTCACTCACCCAAGAAGCAAAGCAATTTTAGCTTTGGCAATCTGAGCTAAAGTTTCATAATTTTAATCCTCACACTTCAATTAACAGATGGACGCATCACATTCATCCATAAACAAAAAGGAAAAAAGTAATTTCTTTAATGTACACCTGGGAAAGACAATTGTGATCTGGATTTGTACATTCAAACATAATGCAATTTAATTAGTAGAGCAATTTAAAACTACTAAGAACATGATGGGTAGTTGAGAAGTTGTTTCATTTCTAGTGTTGTTGTTTTTTTTTATAATCACAATGTTTCATATTCTTTCAAGACTGAAATTGTGGCATTTGGCAAGATTTTGTTAATTATAAAGGCGGTTCACCAATCTCAGCTACCTTGGTAGAGCCTGGTGGGTTTTTAAGATTTATAAAAACAGGTATGATGACTTCAGAGGTAAATATATATCTTTTTTACATTGCCTAGAAAAATGAAAAATAATGAATTTTCTTTAAAAACATAAAAACAATACAAAACCAAAATGAACTGCTCTGGTATCTCAATTAAAAAAGTGCTCAGTACTGTTCTTAGAATAAGGTCCAGGGTTCCATCCATATTAAGATCTTCTGGTCAAGATAATATATGAACAAAGATTACTGAGAATAAAATCTAGGGTTCTATCCATGTTAACATCGTTTAACTTTATGATATATAAATAAAGACTACTGGAAATGGAATGGACTATTTGAATAAATATAAAACCCTCAATAAAAAAAAAAGTCATTAAGATGTTAAAACAAAACTTTGCTCCAAAAATGATACTAGATAAACTTCCTGCTTGTCTCCTCTCACCCCCCAACTCTTGAAGTGATGGTGAAAACCAATACACAAAGCATTTTTATGGACTATTCTTCTTGAAAGGTAGGAAAAAGAAAAAGGTCAAAACCAAGTCCACATCAGTCTTTGAAACAGTTCTATGCTTCTACTTTTTATTCTTGGTAAATTTATTTCAGTGGAACTAAATTATCTTATAATAGGCATGAGCCCAACAAATTAACAGAATATAGATGTACAAGTTCTAAAGAGAATTGCCTGCTAAACCATTACATTCAGAGATCCATAAGTAAGAGTTGGTCACATCAATAATTTAATTTTGATCTGGTGACAAAGCATGTTTGTATTCCTGGAAAAAAAACAACAACCAATCTTACTGACTGGCAATTTGGTACATTTGAGGGTTAATTAAATAAGCAATGTGGCAAAGTATCCAATATGCTATAAGGTGCAATTTTTCTGTTGGATTAAACTTCAAAACTCAGCTATTTCACATTCGAGCCAACCAGTTAAGTCAACAAAATCAGCTAAGTTGGTAGCTCCTGTATAAATCCTAATGTCTTTTAGAAAGGTTTAAAAATCAAATCATGACTGAATTAACTTTGTAACTTATGATATGTTAGGCTAAAGCTGTGGAATTAATTCAAGAATTATACATTACCAAGTACATAAAGATAAAGATGTTGGTTTTAAATGTTATTTTTGCATAAGTTTACTTACTGCCATATAAGCATTTGTTCCAACATACGTCTTGGCTATAGAATTCACCAGCTATGAGACAAAAACAGTCTGTTAGAACAATATAAAGATAATGTGGAAATAAAATGGGCAATTATTCCTCATTTAACCTACAATCATCATTTCTATAAATCAACTAAAAATTACGTAAAAGGGAACAAATCTACAAAGGCATTAAAAATGGTTAAATCTCTCTTTTCTTTTGAATGTGATTTCCATTTAAACAAGCACAGCATTACAGTTTATGGCAGATAACCTTAAACAATTCACTTAAGCAGGATGCTTATCGCTTTAGTACCCCCAAACCATCTGATATAAAAAGTCAATTTGAAGTAGAATTTGAACACACTCAAATGGCTCAAGATGTGAATGAAGAAGCCCCATGCATTACTAGAATGAAACGAACACTAAATACGCTGGAGGGATAACAGACTTTGACAACTCATAATACAACGATGACCTTCGCTTTGGTCTTCGTGTTTGGCTGGGAGTAAAGGTGGCTGCAATTCAAATCAACATCACAGCACGCTCATGGGTCACTATCACCGGGGTTCTCAGGGGAGGCCCAAAATGGAAATTAATTAAAATTTGTGCTGCACATTGTAATGGCCCTCCACCATTGTTGCTCCCAATATTAATTTTTATTGTGGGCCAGTTGGGCTCCCCAGGCACAGCTCCCACTCTGCCCTCCCTTTTGTCTGGCCAAAACGCTTCATATCAACACTGCATATCAATGAAGTTTGCTATTCGTAAGTAGTAATTACAATATCAGCAGTTTTTACTGTCATTAAACAATGAACAATCATATTCTGATGAAGGAAACTCGCCCGGAGATTAAAAATGAATACCACACTCCCAGCCGAGGAGAAGATGCAGAGCTCTGTTTGTCTGGCGGCTGGGTGACTTTTCAATCCAGAGAGGAGATTGGAAATAAAAAGGGGATGCTGCAGAGAGGAGAGCAGATGGGGAGGGAAAAGAGACCTACCTGAGTGCTAACTCCAAAGTCACAGAGCTTGACCTGTCCTCTGGTGTTTACTAGCATATTGGAGGGCTTCACATCTAAAAAGGGAGGAGAAAAGTCCATGTAACTAATTCCACATCTACAGTGCTTGCTCTAAAAAGAAGCGCACACGCACACCCTACTATATTGCAGAAACGACATCATCTGTTCAACTTGGACTGCCAATCACAGATTTGATGCAAAGCATTTTATCTGGAGGCAACTAAATGTAAGGTCCTAACACCTCCACTTCCAGCTATTTCTGGTTTCTATGGAAGCAAGGGTTTATTTCAAGTGAAAGTCAAAAAATGTTGGCTTTCAACAACAGTAAATACACCCGTCATCCTATCCCCTGCCTTTTAGGAAAAGTAGGTAGAAAAGAAAATGTAATCTTGCAAAGAATTTGCACAAAAGGGCTTGTTTTGCTCTCAGTATGAAACTATTACTCCCATTTAAAAAATAGTAAGGCAAAAGGGAAGCCAACAGGAAAAAAAGTGTTCGTATGTTGCTGGTAACAGGTCATAGCTGAACAAAACAATGAAAAAATAAATGCCACATTGCTTTTTTCTGGTTTGATATGATAAATACTACTTCAGATGATACTCAGAAATTGATCTAAAAGATGTGAGTGTGTGCCTGCATGCACTTATCAGCCTTTGTTTCAGTTGGCCTTCTCGTCCCTTACATCATTTTTGACTGCTGTTATAGTTAACAAAAGAACTGACATAGCTTTTGCCAAGGCAGTCAGTTGCTAAATAATGACACAAAGGGTTTCTGTGAAACATTGTCAGTGACAACAATGAGCTTTTTCAGGAATTCAGAGAGCCCACAAAAATCACCCAAGCAGGACAAGAGCACACTGCTTTTGACAGTACAGAACAGCACCTGTTTCAACGTTCATCTTCGATGGCAAAAGTGGTCGGGAATAGGCAACTTGTTGTATTTAATATAGCATATAATCTTAATCACCCCAAAACTGAACACAGGACTCATCATTTTTAATGTAACAATTTAAAAAAATCTGTAAATGAGTTCATCTCCTCCCCTTTATCCTGCAAAAGGGTACCCCAACAAAGTATCCTGCCAAGAGTAGATATTTAATTCAAACTTCAAGTTCAAACTCTGTAATTAACAATTATTGAGCCCTACCTACTATGTGACAGGCAACATGCTAGGTACTTTCTCATGCATTAGCTATTTAGTGTTGTCTGACTGATGCAACAATGTAAACTCCATGAAGGCAGGGACTTTATCTCTGTTACTGACCACTATATTCCCAGTCCCTAGAAGGGTGCCAGGCATACAGTAAATGCTTAATAAGTATTTGTTGAATGGAGGAGAAAATAAAGGAATGGAAGCCATGAACACATAGTATGACTTCATGTTGATGATTCTGTTTCAGTGATCAGAGGGCAGCTATAGAACATGTTTCTGGAGCACGCCCTTCAAATAACACACACTGGATACTTCCTTTGGAGGGAGGGTGAGTCTGAAGACAGTTTTATCAACTCTCTCTGCCTTCAGTTTCCCCAATTTCAATATAAATCTTATACCACCAACATCCTATGTAATAAAAGGCTAATATGCAAATTGTCCCCTCAGGAGTTTGACCGACCAGGAGTTCGACTGCTTGCTGTGCCGTGCAATGACCATCGGGGGCAGCATGGAACAAAGGAAGGCCTTGGCTGGAAGCCGGGGAAGGAAGGCCCCGATTGGCCCTGATTGCTGGCCAGGCCTAGGGACCCTACCTGTGCATGAATTTCATGCACCGGGCCTCTAGTCCTATATAATGAGAGGAATATGCTAATTATCTGTTACACCATGAGGTGTAATGACCGACCGAGTAATGACCAGATCATGGATCAGCAGGAGGGTGGGGCAGCGAGCTACAAGTGGACAGTGGAGAGCTACAGGAGGGGGCAGGGCAACAAGCTACAGGAGGGCGGGGCAGCGGGCAGAGAGCTACAGGAGAGCGGCAGCGAGCTACTGGAGCATGGATCTGTGTGCAGAGCTACTAGTATTATATGAAATAAAGCACTTTCACTACCTCAATTCTCTCCTTGAGGAGAAAATGAAATATTCTCTGACTCCACCCCACCAAAATGTGAACTCCTTAAGAATAGGGTTGTGCTTTCAAATGTACTCCAGTATTTAGCACAGCACATATAAGTCATAGATAGCCACAGTAGACATGCAACATTTGCTGAACTGAAAGAAATGTTAGACTCTACATAGCCTGGTCTTTTTTTCCAAACCTAATTTTCATTATACTAGTAGACCCTCAACTCTGAATATTTTTCTTTTCGACAATCTGGTCTTTTATATATCAACACCCTTAAACCACTTCTTAAGCCACCACATCAGATGGAGACAGTTAATGAACAGATATTTTAAGCTCCTGGAAGGAGCTGCCTGGAAATCATGAAGTATGGTATGGTAAAATTAACATTTTTATCTTTACTCGGACACATATTTGACTTAAGTGGATTAATACAGAGAGAAAGAATAAAACCACAAAGTTGCTAGATTATATTGTAAAAGGCAAAGTGTAAATAAGAACTTTACTGGATTTTTCAGCTCTCCAACATCTTGTTTAACTTACATGTATAACTTGTGTACATTCAGCCTAGTTAACAGGAGTACTTTATGTATAAAAGTAGTAGTCACCCTTTTATCCTCAAACCAACCTTTGTATTCTGACTAAACTGTTAATCACTGTCTCAAAAAAACACACCCTAAAACAAACAAAACCCCTTATCACTAAGCCTTTGTTCATTCTATGTGTTCTCCCTCACCACCCCCCCCCCCAACCCCAGGTTTAGAAACCCTTCTTCAATATTGTCTGACTGAATCCTGCCCATTCTTTAGCTCAGGTACCCTCCTCCCTGTTGCCCTAAATACTCAGGCCATCAGAATCACTGGCTCCTCTGAACTGCTAAAGAATTTACTATTTACTGGCTGTATCATTTGTTTGAATCTGAGCATATGACATTTTTTTTAGTAGTAGTTGTTTACCATATTTACTGTTATAAGTATCACCACCCAAGTATTAAGTTCACAGGGTAGGAATATGTTTTATACATCTTTGTCTTTGTATGTATCTCTTCCAAGCATAGTATCTTGCTCACTAGTTGATGGTCTTCAAACAATATACTAAATTTGCTATATTAAGTGTCCCCTTTCCCACCAACATCTTGAGACATCATTTGAACATAACAGACTCCTTTAATCAAAACCAATGGATTCAGATGAGGAGAAAAGACCTGGGTTTTAGTTTTTTGGGGGTCCTGCAATAAACTTGGCATGTAATGTTTCAGTGTCCACCTCTGTAAGGAAACAACCATGTGTCAATCTTAAAAAACTGTGAGGATTAGATGAGATAATGAATAAACACTGCATTTTAAACTCTCAAACACTCTATAATTGTAAAGTATTAGTATTTCCCATTGGTAGTCAACCAAGCTACAAAAGCAGTGTACTTCATTATATTTAGAAAATTATTTCTATTGCTATTGTAGCAAATTTAAGCTGTATTTGAGTAAATACCAGCTGAATGAAAATAATTTCTAAAGCCCAGTAAGTAGAACTATAAAACCAATTTAATGTTGGGGAGGCATTCTAGGTAGACAATATGCACCCATGCCTCAACAAGGCTACTAACTTGTCTTCCCTTTTTTGCATTTGCTCTGCTATTATCTGTGCTGAATACAGCAGCTAGTCATCATTTTAAAACTTAAATCAGATCATGCTTGCTTCTCTCCCTAAAACCTCCAAGGGCTTCCCAACTCAATGAAAAATGCAAAGTCCCCATGATGATGTCTAAGGTAGGGGTGGGGAACCATTTTTCTGTCAAGGGCCATTTGGATATTTGTAACATAATTCGAGGGCCATACAAAATTATCAACTTTGTATCAGTCTGCTAGCAATCTTGAGAAAGAAGAACAAAGTTGGAGGGATCACAATACCAGATATCAAGTTATACTACAAAGCCACTATAATCAAAACAGCCTGGTACTGGCCCAAGAATAGGCATATAGATAAATGGAACAGAACAGAGACCCCAGAAATCTACCCAAGCCATATGCTCAATTAATATTTGACAAAGGAGGCAAGAGCATACAACGGAATCAAGACAGTCTCTTCATTAAATGCTGTTGCAAATAGTGGACAGATACATGCAAAAAATGAAAATAGACCAACAAGTTACACCACACACAAGAATAAACTAAAAATGAATAAACTCAAAAGACTTCAATGTAAGATGTGAAACCATAAAAATCCTAGAAGAAACCATAGGCAGCAAAATCTCAGACATCTCTCGCAGTAATATGTTTACGGATTCATCTCCTAGGGCAAAGGAAACTAAGGAGATAAACAAATGGGACTACATCAAAATAAAAAGCTTCTGCACAGCAAAAGAAACCATCAACAAAATGAAAAGGGAGCCCACTGTATAGGAGAACATATTTGGCAATGATACATCTGATAAAGGGTTAATATCCAAAACATATAAGGAACTCATACAACTTAACAAAAGGTAGACAAAAATCCAATTAAAAAATGGGCAAAGGACCTAAATAGACAATTCTCCAAAGTAGGCATACAGATGGCTAAGAGACATATGAAAAAATGCTCAAAGTCACTGATCATCAGAGAGATGCAAATTAAAATGACAATGAGGTATCACCTCACACCTGTCAGATTGGCTACCATAAACAAATCAACAAATGACAAGTGTTGGCGAGGATGTGGAGAAAAGGGAACCCTAATACTCTGCTGGTGGGAATGCAGACTGGTGTAGCCATTATGGAAAACAGTATGGAGTTTCCTCAAAAAATTAAATATGGAACTGCCATTTGACCCAGTGATCCCACTTCTGGGAATATATCCTAAGAGACCCGAAACACCAATCAGAAAGAATGTATGCACCCTATGTTCATAGCAGCACAATTAACAATAGCTAAGATCTGGAAACAGCCCAAGTGCCCATCAGGAGATGAGTGGATCAAAAAGCTGTGGCACATTTACCAGTAGACAATGGAATACTATGAAACAGTAA